GTGTCACTTGCACACACAGACACACTTTTTTCTTTCTCTTCGCTCTTTCTTTTGATGTGCAAGAATTTGAAGAAATGAGGTTCCTGAGCTATACGTAGTTTTCAATATGCTCCACGCGTACTGCTTTATTCGTATCTCACGATGTATTCAGTTACCTAAGCGCACAGATGCCCTGGTGTTAAGCGGTTACAAAAACCCTTCCTTGTTTACGAAGCCAGAGTTGGTAGGTATTCGTCTGTAACAAAAACAAATCAACGTCACACGTAATTCTGTATGTGTTCCTTCACAAGACGGAGTAGTGGAAACACAATTAAATTATATCGACAAGGATTTATTATTCAATTATGTGAATGATATTTCATCGTCCACAGATGACCCGCCGCGCCGACCCGCCGCGTCACATTAGGACAAGCTACAGAGCCGACTCGTGTTTTGTGAAGATTGTAGCTTCACATACTTTCACGTTTGAATCTCTGTCTTATAAAGTCAGTTTCCTATTGCCGAATGTTGTTATTTTTTCGATTTTGAAAAGGTTTTTAAAATTAAGCTATTCCAGTCAATTATATTGTGCAAAATGTCAACTTACACGACGAACACTGTTTAAAAATATAGTTAAACAGTGGGCGTCGGACATTTGAGCGATGTGCTCTCCCTGTGATGGTGTATGGGGCCGAGACATGGANCTGTCTTATAAAGTCAGTTTCCTATTGCCGAATGTTGTTATTTTTTCGATTTTGAAAAGGTTTTTAAAATTAAGCTATTCCAGTCAATTATATTGTGCAAAATGTCAACTTACACGACGAACACTGTTTAAAAATATAGTTAAACAGTGGGCGTCGGACATTTGAGCGATGTGCTCTCCCTGTGATGGTGTATGGGGCCGAGACATGGATGCTCACAAAGCAAATTATAACCAAAATGCAATACGAAATCCGCAGAAGTACTGGGTTGACTGACATAGCCAAAGTGATAGCTCGGAAAAAGTGTAAGTGGGTCGGCCACAATATGTCGTCGCACTGACAGTCGGTGGGGCGCAATAGTACCTACTGGAGTGGAGACCTCGTACTGGACGTCGTAACGTGGGCAGACAGCCAACGAGCTGGACCGATGACATGAAAGTGGTTGGTAGAGACTGGATGCAAAAGGCAAGAGACCGAAGAAAATGGAGTACATTCGAAGAGACCCACTCCCAGCATCGGGTGGACACGGGTTGAAGAAGAGATAAATAGTGTATGTGATGTCATACGTGGATCGTCGCCATTCGACTTTTGCAATCGATATCTACTTACTAATCTAGATTTTGTTAATTATTTGATGCACATCAGTCGAGGCTCCGCAGCAGCGCCACTCCAGGTAGACTGCGGGCAGTTCTTAGATCTGAGTATCGCCGAGTAGAGCATTCTGTGCCCCCCACGGTAAATACCAAAAATCGTCTAATTTCTGTCACGAAGCGGTCAAACGTCCAGATTTCAATATGTCTCTCGTGCGCACGTCCCTCTTCTTTTTCTTCTTGGTCGGGGGCCGCACCTACTGCGAGCTCCAGATGTTGGGAGTGGAAAGCGGGCAGGATGATGGTATTTAGAGCCCTACGCAATAAATTACTCCTCTGCTTTCGCCCAAGCGTCCTATCCCTCCGAAGTCAGAACCCGGGCGAGATAGGAGGGAAGGCGATCGTTCGCCCGTCCCATCTCAAAAAAAAATTCTATCTATTCGTTGGCAGCCCAAGGTGTTATTCTAGCTACGCGCAGATGGTTAGGTGAGCTCACGGGCTCAACCTGAGAAAATTTGTTAACATTAGCCCTAGCAATAGCAGAGTTTCGCAGAATCTACCACTAGATCGGAAACGCGAGAAGATCCCACGAAAAAGTCAGTTGGCTATGTCTACGGGTTAGACATGCAATGTGCACCAACATTCACGCGTGAAGTGTGTCCATTTCGATGAAGCGGCACGACACGAGAACCCTCCTGTAGGTGTTTCTACTATATTTATGTATATTAGTTCATATTATTTATTAATTTACATTGTACACCTACGCAATATTTAATATTATATCATATTTAATTACGTATTCTATAACACACTCTCATACAGTACACAAATACGCTAAACAATCATACATTCACAACACTACTCAAAATTATATTATTTACACAAGCATAGTCGGGCGNTGTAGGTGTTTCTACTATATTTATGTATATTAGTTCATATTATTTATTAATTTACATTGTACACCTACGCAATATTTAATATTATATCATATTTAATTACGTATTCTATAACACACTCTCATACAGTACACAAATACGCTAAACAATCATACATTCACAACACTACTCAAAATTATATTATTTACACAAGCATAGTCGGGCGTAGTTGCTAGTATGCAGCAAAGACCCCGACTATGTATAGCTGCGTACGTACTGGTCGTCGCCTGCGCCACGACTCGGCCGCCGCTCGCGGCCAGTCGGGTTTGATCAACGCTACGCTAAGACTGTGTCACTCCTCGACTTACGCGTACTCTTTTGCTTTGTTACGATTTATTGCTTTCATCTATTTTGTAGTATCGTGTTTGAACTTGCTACCGCTTTATCTGTGCCTTCTGTACTCCGTAATTTCTCCTTCTTAATATTGCTATACTATCTGTGATTGGAAATAAACTGTCCATCCAATTACGGACTCGTTATTGTGCCGCCCGGCACTGGTGACCTTACCACCAACCACCAACGACAACCAAACTGGTAACTCCTACCAAACCTCCCATCGTGGCCGCCGGTAACTACATTCCCGATCCTGCGGACAGAATGGAAAGCAGTCGACGTCGCCCAAAATACGTCATCTCGGATCCTCCCGATCCTCTAACGGTGGTTCTAGGTACTTCAAGCACCGGTCATCGTTCTCGTCGAACCCGTCGCTTGCAACGAAGGGCTCGACGAGTAAATTAACTCTCAGACACAGCACACTGAGTTTCTCACCGGATCTTCTCAGTGGGTGGTAGATTCTGCGAAGCACGACTCTTGCTAGGGTTCGTGTTAGCAACGTCGTCAGGCTTGAGCTCCGTGAGTTCACCTACTAGTTAAGGTTACGCTGATATAGCCTCTCAAGGCTCTCAGCATAAGTAGATAAAAAAAAAGTGAAGTGAGTGCCAATGTTAGTGCAATAATTAGATCTGTTGTCTTTCATTTCGTGATTCACAGAGTCTGCAAAGTAATAAACACAAGTTGGCGATCTCGTGGAAACGTAAACCAATAACAAAGCCCTAACTTTACTCTCAGTTTATTTTATTTGCTCGTTGTTATAACAATTAGAAGCTAAAATAACATAAATAACAAACACGTGCTCGCTCATGCATTCCGAACATCCACAAAGGGTTTGCTCAACTTTAGAACTCGTCCTATGATAACAATCATCCGTATCAACTATATGTAGGTACCTACTCGCATACGAGACATCACTCCTCAGTCTGCACTGTATTAGTTCCAGAGAAGGCGCAAGATGCCCGAAGCCAATACTACAAAAATTCACGCTAAAGTCATCGAGTTGAAATTGTATTATTAGTCATACGTAAATTACATTATAGGTACGTCATTGATTCACATTTTAATGGCTGTTAACGTTTCCGTCACGGAATTCTAATGGGTCACGATGAATTAAAACAAACATATGTCGATATATGATGAAAATGGTTATTTTTCCGGTCACCGTTCTCGTCGAACCCACGATGGTGGACGAGTAAATTAACCCACAGACACAGTCCACTGAGTTTCTCGCCGGATCTTCTCAGTGGGTCGCGTTTCCGACCCGGTGGTAGATTCTGCGAAGCACGGGTTTGTGTTAGCAACGTCGTCAGGTTTGCGCCCCGTAAACTCACCTACTAGTTAAGGTTACCCTGAAATAGCCTCTTTTTTTTTCAAGTTTATCTATCAGCTTTGGTAGGAAAAAAAAGGTTACTTTTCCAACTATTCCATCGTGACAACGTGGTGTGACGTCAGCAGTCTTCATATAGTGAGTCATGTTTATGTAGTACCCCCGGACACACAGCAGCCGAGCGGAGCCCCGTCCAGCCGGCACGAGCGCATCCTTCATATGTGCGTTGATTTCATAACACTTCGCAGGCGGCACGTGTGCCTTACACGTGTTTGCTAAAGGGTAAGCTCACAGGTTCTTGCGGATTATTCTGTAGCGAATCAGCGTCCTGACTCGATGATTGAGGTTTGAGATAGTCGACGCATTTTAAACTGAGTCGTCGAGCAATAAATGTCGCTGACAGTAGGAATGTGCACGCAACGCAACCCGATATCGATACTTTTAACTACCTGCACACGCGGGCTCTATGCGCCATCGTGACCTTCATTAGCACTCTGACTCTGTACAGTTTCTCTATGATTACGTCGAAACAAACATTTTATCTTACAAATTAAAAACTTTTATTTTCAGATAGCGAATAATGACTCCTATTAACACTTAACATAATTTAGCATATCGATCGCACCTATCCCGTTATCGATATGCACCTCTACAACATCTTACGCACATCACTATATATGTAGCAGCTAGTCGTGTGTTGCTCTCAGCTCTAAAGCCATTCGATTAACTGAGCAGAATCTCAGTCTCATTAAAACTGTTATATTTGCGTAATTACTGGTGGTAGGACCTCGGGTAGGTACCACCACCCTGCCTGTTTCCGCCGTGAAGCAGTAATGCGTTTCGGTTTGAAGGGCGGGGCAGCCGTTGTAATTATACTGAGACCTTAGAACTTATCTTATATCTCAAGGTGGATGGCGCATTTACGTTGTAGATGTTTATGGACTCCAGTAACCACTTAATATCAGGTGGGCTGTGAGCTCGTCCACCCATCTAAGCAATAAACAAAAAAAAAAAAATGTTGAGTATACTAGTTGTGCAGGGGGCGGTGCGGGGCGCGCGGGGGACCTTAGTATCTAAATCCCAGACGTTAAGTTACACTCAACGGATCCAATCTCATAAATAAATAAATAATACGTTCAGTTTCAATGCTTTATTTACAAACATATATACAAGGGAGCAGCAGGACACGCGCGACGACTCGCAGCTCGGCGCGGCTCACGGACCGCAGGGGGGTCCGCACAGACCGTGTACGGAACAGAACATGTCTAGCGCGATAAATAAAACCTAAAACTATAAAGTAAATTACATCTATATAAAAAATAAAACAGCCAAGTTCATTATCATCTGTTTGTCAAACGATTAGTGTTGTTTGGTTCAGTTGCCGTCGAGCGGGTGTGGTGGGGGCGCGGGGCGGGGCGGGGCGGGGCGGGGCGGGGCGGGGCGGGGCGGAGTCAGTCGTCGTCCGAGTCCAGCTGTATGACCTCGCCCTCCGCTACCGAGTTGAGTACAGGCTTCAGCGTGGCCAGGTCGGCGGCTCCGGTCCCGAGGGGCACCGAGGAGGCAGCGGACAGCTTCCTCTTCAACATGGACATCGAGGGGACACACTGAGCGTTCATCAGGTCCACCAGTTCCTGTCGAAAGTTGAAGTGATGTGAGTGTGGACATGGCGGTGCGTGCGGGTGCGTGTGCGTGCGGAGGGTACAGACCCGCAGCGGCTCGGCGCGGCGACAGTAGAGGCCGGCGCCCGCGGGCCGCACCAGGGGGTGCAGGGAGCCGTCGGTGACGTCCCAGAAGGCGGCGTCGTGGAACTCGCTGGCGACGTGCCACAGCACCGGCGGCACCACGGTGTGTACCTGCCGACAGCCGCGTGTACTTTTTTTTTTATTGCTTTGATGGGTGGACGAGCTCACAGCCCACCTGGTAAGTGGTCACTGGAACCCATAGACATCTACAACGTAAATGTGTCTCCCACCTTGAGATATAAATTCGAAAATCTCAGTATAGTTACAACGGCTGCCCCACCCTTCAAACCGAAACGCATTACTGCTTCACGGCAGAAATAGGCAGGGTGGTGGTACCTACCCGTGCGGACTCACAAGAGGTCCTACCACCAGTTCACCGTGGAAGTCAATCATGAACATTTGGTTAGTACGTATTTCATTAGAAAAATTGGTACCCGCCTGCGGGATTCGAACACCGGTGCATCGCTCAACACGAATGCACCGGACGTCTTATATTTGCGTAACTACTGGTGGCAGGACGTGTTGTGTGTCCACGCGGGAGGCACCGTCGTCCTGCTTATTTCTACCGTGAAGCAGTAATGCGTTGCAATTGGGCGGACAGGCAGCTATTGTCCTGTAGAAGAGGAACTCATGTCCCAAGGTGAGTGGCGCCAGTGAAGTGTGTTGATGTCTATGGACGCACCTGCGCGTAGACGAGCGGCTTGCAGGAGATCCTGCGGTAGACCTTTTTGTTGAAGCTGACGCGGTCGGAGGCCCCGAACAGGTGCGCGGACAGCACCGCGCTCTCCGCCGGCCCCGAGTTCAGCTCCAGGCGAGACCATTCTTTCAGGCTACTTATCGTGTAATATGCGGGATTTTTCATAAGCTGAAATGGAAACCGTGTCGTGAATGTCCCGAGTGCCACGCGATGTCAGCAATGCATTGCTCGACTCCGTCCGTTCGGACAGAGCGGCGTCCGTGGGCAACAGCAACGACTCTCGCTGTACCTCGATGCCAAGAGCATGGAACTCAAAGCAGAGTCTGTAGAGACTACATACACATATACTACCCACACATTACCTACCACTGTGCATTGTATGAGCGATAATTAGTCGTGCATTGCAGCGAGGCCGCGGGCGGGGCGGGGCCGCCGGGCTGACTAGTTGTAGTTGCTATAACCCGAACGTACTGCGGTCGCTGAGCTGACTCTGCGGCTCCTGACCGCCACCCGGCTGCGGGGCCGCGGGGGACCCGGCCGGCGACCGCGCGGCATTCGTTATACGATTTTTTTTAGTGTGATGGATTATTGGTGGCCCGGAGGAGTTTCCAGTTTCATCAGGTCTGCTCGAAGGTGGGCGAGCAAGGGTTCAGTGATGATGGAAGGGATTTGTTAATAACAGTTGTTCGAGCGCCTGCGGATGAGACCTAACAACTTACGGACAGCTTCTTCGCGAATGAATCTTCTATCGGATCGGAATCCCGACCCGCCGAGAAGATCCGTAGAGAAACTCAGTGGGCTGATTTTTTTAAGTTAGGTTGTGAACGTTCGAAGGTCACTTGAACCTTTTATATAAGAACGGTCAATTATTATTCGTTCTTTTTCGTCTTTTTGTATGTCTGTCTTTTCAGAAGTCAAAAAATGTACTGCCGTGCCGCCGGTCACGTGCCTCCTCGTTCCATTGCTTTTCGAATTATTTTCAAATATCTGTCTTAGTTTATCTATGTCTAGTCATTATAGGTTTTATGTCCTGTCAAAGAGGTTGCACGCCACGACAGGTTGGACGAGTACGGTTACCGAGGTCCCTGTGCCTGCTCCTAGTGTTAGAGCTGAAGGCGTCTAGTGCAAAGGTTATTGGATCTGATGGATCCGTAAGGACGTGTCTAGGGCGTCGGCGGTCACTAACTCCTGCGTGATCAGGAGTCGGGGAGTAGTCAGCGGCGGCAACGACAAGGCGATTATCATGACGGACACACATACTGACCCGGTCGATGGGGTCGGCGGACAGCATCACGTACCCCCTGGCCAGCAGCAGCAGCGGCTGGTCGCTCTCCGCGCACATGACGTGCAGCGAGGTGGGGTCCCGGCCCGCCAGGAAGGCGCGCGCGGGGAGGGCGCGGGTGGGCGGGGACACCACGCAGAACGTGCGGGAGGGGGTCCGCGCTGCGGGAGGACGACACTCTGCTTCACTCGGTACTGGCTGAAGGAGGGGCGGGGGGAGCGAGCTTTCGGCGCGTGGTGGGTGCGCACCGATGGGCGCGGCACGACGACGGTCCGTCCACTTATCACTAGATGGGCCGTGAGCTCGTTCGCCCGTCTATGCAATAAATAAATAATTCTTACACAAGCCGTCGTGCGGCGCGGCGAGGGGCACGAAGACGGCCCCCGCACCGCTGCTGTCCGCGGGCGCCGCCAGACTGTTGCACGATACGATTTTCGGGACGAATTCCTTGGGATCAGGAGCAACACAGTCGACAGTCGCCTGGAGGAGGCTGGCTGAAGGGAGGAGGTTGGTAGAGAGGACGCGCCGCACGACGGGCCCCCGCACCCCGTGCCCGCCGCTGATCACCCTGACCGGGACGATTCTTCCGTCGGTCGGTAAACGCTTTACTTTTTTGATTCCTCCTTTGTACTGTATGAGGGCGACGGGGCGAGGACCGGCCGCACCGGGGCCACCGACCGCCGCGAGGTTCCTCAGGAGCGACGCGCTGCCGGGCCCGAGGGAGGGGCCGCTGCTGACGGCCTTGTACACGCGCAGCGCGGCGGGCGCCCACCCGGCCCCGGGCACACTCCCCGCCACACCNCGGTAAACGCTTTACTTTTTTGATTCCTCCTTTGTACTGTATGAGGGCGACGGGGCGAGGACCGGCCGCACCGGGGCCACCGACCGCCGCGAGGTTCCTCAGGAGCGACGCGCTGCCGGGCCCGAGGGAGGGGCCGCTGCTGACGGCCTTGTACACGCGCAGCGCGGCGGGCGCCCACCCGGCCCCGGGCACACTCCCCGCCACACCCCCGGGCACACTCCCCGGCACACCCCCGGGCACACCCCCCGGCACACCCCCGGGCACACCCCCCGGTACACCCCCCGCGCCCTCCCCCGGCCGCTCTGCCACGTCGAGGGGCTTGCGCACTTCGACGAGGAGGTCGCCGGCGCCGTCCGCGATGCCGCCGCCAAGCTCCGTGGAGTCGCTCGGTTCTGCGGGTTCAGATTTGCACCTCTCTAGCGGCGGGACCTCAATGATCAGCGTCGTCGGCTCCGCGGTGTCGTGTGATTCGTTTGCAGAAACTTTAAGAACGGAATCGAGTGGGACGGCGGGCTGGGCGGGCTGGTGGCGGGTGGGGGGCGCCGGGGGGGTCGCGAGCGGGTCCCGGCTGCTGGTGACGATGTATCTGGTGCGCGCGACGTCGATGATGTGGTTGTTGCGGTCGTGGTTGTAGTTGACCTGCCCGTCGAACCGTGCCTTCGTTTGTTTCTTCGCGATAACCTTTTGTTCCCCGAAGTAGCGAGTGTTGAGTGTCTTCTGTCTCAGCCACTCGCGGTAGTCGTCGTCCAGCGCCGGGTCGCGCGCGTCCGCTGTCAATGGCTTGTCTGTTTGTTTTCGACTAGGTTTTGGTTTTTCTGTAAATAGAACCAGTTGATATGAGATTCAGAGTAAGGTTTGATTCGCTTCCATGCAAGGGGATGTGCAGGGGGACAGGCAGGGGGGACGTGCAGGGGAGAGGGGGCTAAGTTACGTTTATATATTCTTTACGTTATATAAATTTAATGATATACATAGCGTGGTTTATTTTATGAATGAATATCTTCTATAAAGTAAATTGGCAGTAGAAATGACAGAGACAGAGTGACTAATTTAATAAATAAGTACAACAAAAACGTTACAGAATAATAAATAGTACATATAAATGAAATGACACATATCAGCACGCGAGACAGGCGGATAGGGGGCTGACCGCCATTGATATACAAAAACCCAAGATGCACAGTCTCATACAAAAGTAGCGCTCGAACCTGTCCATCTTTTGCAAATTCAACCTTACGCGCATTGTTTAAAGTTGTTAATACAAAGCAGTGTACAATAAGCAATCAAATTTTACGACCGAAGTTAGCCGGCAGGACAGGACATAGAGTGGAGACGAATATTTGTATATTTTTTTATTATAAGACATTGAGTTAGTATTTTAAGTTAGTTAAATTGTGTTCTATACACATAATTATACTTTTATCTGAGCGTAAATATGTTTTTGGGTAGGACATGTGCATATCAATCTTTAAAATTTTTAAAATGCATTCTTAAGTGAAACGGTCTCTTTAATAAGTCTAGATTTTTTCTTCCTTAAGTTGTTAATGACTCTCTCCTTGCTAATTACCCTTCTGCGGCATTTGTGGAGTTCACTTTTTATGTGAACTTTTCGAGGTTGAGCCAAAATTGAGCCTATACTCAGGGAAGTAGTAGGAGATTTGAATTCCTTGTTATTTCCTAAATAAAACATTGAACCTCGACAGACTTCAGTATCACCGCCATCATCTGGTATATCTTTGTTGACTGACGATTGACGTCCATTCTCCGCATCGTGTTGGGTTACGAGGAAAATTAAAATATAAGTTAGAAATAAAATATACAAATCCGTAGTTTATACCCGATACTTAAATTACCTACGAAAATCGAAACCAACCTTCTTCTTAAATAAAAAAAATATGAGCCGTCACGGGACGCCTGGCAGATGTGAAAAATCGACATTATTTTGTAAAACTAATATACAGAAAAGAACAGATTGTGATAGGAACTAAATATGTCATATCTAATGATAAAATAAAATATGTTACGAAAAAATAATTAGTTTTCAAGTAAAACACAGGTTATGTGTACTGTAGTAAACAACACTGTATACACTACGGAGTATACACTATAGGTGTCCGAGCTCAGTGTAGCGAGAGAGATGGCTTAACGCCGGATCGAGTGGGAGAGAATCGCAGTCGATTGCGCATGGCGACGCGTCGCCACGGCATGCGTCGCCACGCCAGAAATCGGTTTTACGTGCGGCTATACATGTTTCACATCAAAAGTGTCATAAAAACAAGGCAGTCATGAAGACTGCCGACAGAAGTGAATTTTTTCAGTTTTCAATGTGACGTGTTGGGCCAGAGCGATACTCCTGTTATTAGCATGCAGTATGTCGCGAAGCTATAAGTTGTCCCCTAAGTAATCGAAATGATATTAAAATATTTACAAACTTTAAAAATGACGTCGTATGAACGACCTCTTTTCCTTCTAGAATTCGACTAAGAAATGTATTATTATAATATATTTTCTAACGTATGAATACTTTTTCAAAACTAAATACAAAAAAGTTCAAAGTGAATAAACTTATTAATTAAAAAATTAAACACAATAAAAAAAATCGACTCCATTGAATAAGAACAGGGTCGTTTGGAGTATGCGACTAAAATAAAAGGCAAAAATAATAGCAGTTCTTACACTGAAAACAAGGGCTATTTAAATTTGCCGTATTATACTTGGAGCGTTGAGTGAAGTTTTTTGACAAATTTAATCAAATTCACACACTGCTTCCTTTAATTAGTCATAAAAACAACAAAAACAAATTTTATTTACCGAATATACGATATACCATACTTTTTTAACGTCGTAATATTTTTACAATTTCTCAACGAACATTTCGACATTTTTAACGAGCGCAGAGACGCGTCCGACGCGAGACTATTTGAAATGAGCGCACAATTTTAAATGGTGCGCTCATTTTATTCGGACGTTTTTGAGACGCTGAGTGTGTATCTTGGGTTTTGTAATACATCAATGCTGACCGCAGGCATTCCTGTGGTCATCTTTTGTTAGAACGAATTGAACTTTAAATGGAGTAGTTTGAACGGTATCTATGAAGCCAAAAACAATACCAATAACTCTGTACTCACTGTTCTCTTCGACGAGAAGCGGCTTATCCTGAAACAAACATTACGTTATTATATCTATGGTAATTAATGCGGGGAATTATGGCAGTGCGTGTCGGCGTGCGTACCGCGGGCGCGTCCCCCGGCGCGTCCCCCCCCGGCGCGTCCTCCCCCGGCGCGTCCCCCCGCGGCGCGCGCGCGTCCCCCCGCAGCACGAGCGCGCGCAGGTAGCGGCGCGCGTGCTCGAGGTCGCGTGCCAGGTCGGCCTCGCTGCGCTCCAGCAGATGGCGGCAGCAGCAGGCGCAGGCGCGCAGGTGGGTCTCGTGGCTGCAACACACGGACGGACACGCGTGCCAGCTGCCCCCCGGCGGCGGCACGCGGGGGGCGCGGGGAGCGCGGCGGGTACATACTCGTGCATGTTGACGAAGCCGGCCTGCTTGCCCGCTCGGTGCGCGACGCGGCGCCGGGCGTCGTTCATCACCTTGTGGCGGCGCGCCAGGCAACAGAACGTGTTCTTCGTCGGGGCCTTGTTCGTCTGTAAGCAGCGCGTGAGGCGTGAGACAGGTGTGCCGCGCGGTGCAGCAGCGGGGGGGGGAGGGGAGGGGGGGAGGTCACTCACGGCCACGCTGTTGAGGATCCCCTCCAGCTCGTCCGGTGGCAGCACGCGGCGCAGGTCCCGCTGCTGGTCTGCACAGAGACACCGGGACCCTCGTCAGTCGCGTAATCACTTCTCTAATCAAAACTTCAATTTAAAAAGTTCAATTTAAATAAAGTATAATTTAGTTGTAGAAATCGAAAAGCTTGATTGATTGGATGTTTACTAATGGTAGCTGTTCCAATTGACTCTAAAATGAGCTTTCCACGGCGTCTCTACTGATGTCCATGAACAGCGGCAACCATTATCACGAGGTGGCTTGCCCTACCAGTCCGAGTCCCGGGGCCCGACTGTACCGGGCCGGCCGGCGCGCCCCGTGCAGCGAGGGTCCCACACGGCCCCCTGCTGCAGCCCTCGCTCTCTACTTGCGCGGATACATACAAGTTACGGGTGTTGTATTTTGACAGATAAGAAATCATAATATTCTTAGGGGCTGGGACGAATACAAACACATACACATAGACCCCCCCCTCCCCCCGCTACTTACTCCTTTGCCTGACGACCTGCAGCGGCGTGTCCTCGTCGTCACTGCTGATCTGTCGTCAACAAACGGACCAGTTTTACAAACATTATTTTAGCACCAGCCTAAGCTCCACCGCCCGTACACCATGCAGCCATTGACATTACTACTTTTGACGCCTCTATTACAAGCACGTCTATCAAATTCCACAATTATTGGCCGACAACCGGAGAAAAAATATAATACTTTACAGATGATGTTTTCATTTTAATTTTGTTACTGGTGGTAAGACTTATTGTGAGTCCACGCGGGTAGGTACCACCACCCTGCCGTGAAGCAGTAATGCGTTTCCCTTTGAAGGATGGGGCAGCCGTTGTAACTATACTTGAGACCTTAGAAATTATATCTCAAGGTGGATGACGCATTTAGGTTGTAGATGTCTATGGGCTCCACTAACCACATAACACCAGGTGGGCTGTGAGCTCGTCCACCCATCTAAGCAATAAAAAAAAAGCGACGCGGGACTGGACATCACTAGGTCCACGTTACTTCAGCTCCAAAGGACCCGCGGTGCATGCTCATGTCCACATGTGGCTCCATAAGTACGCGCAAGTCGAGTTTTCATCTATTTGGATCACATTAGAAAAATTAAAGAAACTTGCAATGTGAAATAGATTATTTTGTACAATTGTATGATGATGTTAATTAAACCTTGGTTCAGCAAATGCGCAATGTCCCAGACGATATCCCTAAGAAGTCATAGTCGCCGTTTAGTTGTCTAGTGCCGGTATAGTTCATCGCAGCTTCCTACCAAACGGAGCCAGTAGTACTGCGAGTGTGTCGTGTTGCTGCTGCCCCGGCACCGCACAGCAGACCACCTCTAGGCTACAGGCGCTAGAGCTGGAAGCGTTGCGTCATCCACCACCAGACCTTGTGCAACTTCTTGACACGACAGATAGGGGAGGACAGATAGGTAGGACATATCTATGCTGATAGCTTGAGAGGTTATTTCAGCTTCTCCTTGACGTGTAGATGAGCTCACGCGGCTCAAACCGGAGTGTTGCTAACACCGGCCCTAGCAAGAGCAGTGCTTCGCAGAATCTACCACCGGATCGGAAACGCGACCCACTGAGGAGATCCGGCGAGAAACTCAGTGGACTGTGTCTGAGAGTTAATTTAATCGTCAAGCCCTTGGTCGCAAGCGACGGGCTCGACGAGGACGGTGCCCGGTGCTGGTGGTGGCGCGCGCGAGCTGCCTCCACAGTTTACACTAACATAAAATACCTGTAAAACATCAGCAGTATTCTTTATGCCTTGAAGGTCCAAGTTCGTCTTCTTGGCGACCCTCATCAGATCGTCCTCGTCGGGCTGCATGCTCCTGAGGATCTCGTCTCGAGTGAGTTCGCCGAAGTTCTCTCCCTCGTCGGAAAGATGTTCGCCTTGGAGTCCACTTATTAAGTTTTTATCCCAAGCCATGGACTGGGCCGCACTACTCGCTTGCCTCTTCAAAACACTGTCGCCGTGTCCCCTGAAGGTCTCCCCCGGGAGGGCGGACCCCGGGGGGCGGCGCGCGGGCGGCTCCAGCTCCCCGGGGTCCACGTCGCGCAGGCGGATGCTGCCCCGCCTGCTGCAGCGCCTCCAGAACTGCGTCGCGGCCAGGTCGACCAGCGCCACCGACGTCGCCAGGAACAGCTTACGGTCTGAAATTATTTACACGTCGCTAATGATCAAGCAATTAGCAGCGGGTGGCTTTAAGATGACCCCGTCAACAGTGCGATTTAAGTCCTCATTTTTGTTTGTAAAATTCTGAAATCTATTTATTAAAAAGTTAAGTTTCGATGCCTACAGAGCCGATGGGGGGGAGGGGGGCTGAACACAGGCGGGGGGGGGGGCTGCACACAGGCGGGGGGGGGGCGGCCCCGACTTCAGACACGTGTAATGTCTGTAAAATATAACTTGAATTACCCATGCTCCGCGAGGCAAGGCCCCGCGCGTCCCCGGCGGGGGAGCGCCCGCGGGCAGCGCCGCCCGGTGCACTGCCGCCCTCGAGCAGCTCGTCCTTCGCTTGCAGTTCGCAGATTCCTCCCAGTTCCTTGTTTTCTGTTCGTTCATCTGATTCGTTCTTTACATTTGATTCATTCCATTTTTCTATTTTATTCTTTTGGTCGTCTTTAATATTTTCTTTTAGTTCAGTATTTTCGACAAATTGATTAATTTCATCCAGTTTAGGTTTTTTTGTAGGCGGCTCGTCGTTCGGTTCATCATGCACAAGACTGACGGGATATATGTTTGGACACACATTATCGCGACCGCAGTCCCCGCCGGGGTCCGCCGGGTGGGGCGCGCCGGGGTCCACCGGAGTGGGCGCGCCGGGGTCCACCGGGGTGGGCGCGCTGGGGTCCACCGGGGTGGGCGCGCCGGGGTCCACCGGGGTGGGCGCGCCGGGGTCCACCGGGGTGGGCGCGCCGGGGTCCGGCGAGGAGTCCTCGTCTTCGTCGTCGCTTTCGAAGATGACAGTGGTCTGCACGCGGTCGGGGTCCAGACCCTCCAGCGCCTCGAGACCGGCGACCTCACACCCGGACTGCGACATGTCCTGCAGCTGCTCGTTAATGTCGAAGGAGATCTGTTTGTACACTTGTATACTTTGCTTCTTCATTTGGGCTCCGAACTGTTCAGGATCTGTATCGGCAGCCCCGCCGGGCCCGGTGGAGCTGTCCGGTGCGGGGTGCTCCGCCCCGGGCGGGGCGGGGGGCGGCGGCGTCGCGGCGCGGTCCTCCTCGATGACCAGCCGGGGCTCGTCGTCCTCATCGTCTACTTCTACTGTCTCTATCTCTTTCTCAATTATTATTAAATCGTCCTCGTTGTCTGAAATAAATATAGATAGATATAAAAAACAAATCAGAATGTGCAGCGGTCCGACCCGCAGTTCACAGAGCGAGCCCGGGGCGCGGACAAGTCTCGTCCGCGCTGTGTGCTTACATGTTAAAGCTCACCTGAGAACTGTTGTGGAACTTTCGTCGATCCTTCGGTCTCTGCAGGTACTTCTGTATCCGCGGCGGGCGCACTCGCGCGGTGTGCCTGCGGAACAGAAGTTCGTGAGCAGAAGCTTGACCGGCGCGCGCCGCTGCGGACCCATCGCGTTTCAGTTTCAAGAACAGGGTAGGTGATGAAATAAGTATTGCATCTAAGTATAAATCTTCATCGGCCCCATCGTTCAGCTGGATAGAGGAAGCTATGGCACTCCCCGCCGCGCAACCAGCACTTGAGGGATACAATATAACTTCAAGCTGCTGTCTCAAGGTGGCGGATCTCGGCGGACTCCATCCCAGGGAGGGTTCAGAGGGGAAGGACTCGAAGGGAGCGGCGGCGCGGAGTGGACCGCACTGAGCAGTGCGATCCGCCGTGCGCATTTATGAGCATGAATAAATTAAAAAGGTTACTGTGTGAGCGACTTACATCAGGCAGGTAGACTTTCCCGCTTTTCACGAACTCTCTCCAGGATTCCATCGGCTGCGTTACGATTTCAGGGTACCTGAAACGAACGAGTTTTCGGGTGACCGGCGCCGGGCGACAAGCTCCGGCAGCCGGTCACCGGGCGACAGGCTCCAGCAGCCGGTCACCGGGCGACAGGCTCCAGCAGCCGGTCACCGGGCGACAGGCTCCAGCAGCCGGTCACCGGGCGACAGGCTCCAGCAGCCGGTCACCGGGCGACAGGGGTTGCCAGTACTATTACTCATTAAAATCGGCTTAGTGGATTTATTTGTGCGAAGGTGGGACGAACGATGATTCCGAGCGCTGTGAGATGTCCTCTTCCGGGGCGGGGTACCAGCGGTGCTGCAGCAGCACCAGCGACACGTGCGAGTGCCTGGGGGCGGGGGGCGGGTGCGGGGGCGGGGCGGGGTACTCACAGGCGCAGCATGACGACGTGCAGCGGCGTGAGGTCGGCGGGGTCGCGCAGGCAGCGCAGCCGCGTGTGGCGCTTCAGCTCGTACCAGCGGCGCTGCAGCAGCACCAGCGACACGTGCGAGTGCCTGGGGGCGGGGGGCGGGGGCGGGGGCGGGGCGGGGTACTCACAGGCGCAGCATGACGACGTGCAGCGGCGTGAGGTCGGCGGGGTCGCGCAGGCAGCGCAGCCGCGTGTGGCGCTTCAGCTCGTACCAGCGGCGCTGCAGCAGCACCAGCGACACGTGCGAGTGCCTGGGGGGTGGGGTGCTCACAGTCAGCTATTAATGCAGTATACTATAGCCTATGTTTTATTTGTTAGATATCCAGATAAACAACAAAACCCAACAAAAAGATTCTTTATTAATTGCATAAGTACTGTATGTGCGCGAGTTCATGTCCATCGGGGCCAGAGGTGACGCGCGGGGGACAGCTCGCCCCGCCCCCGCCCGCCTCCCCGCATTCGTTTGACGTCGAGTGTTGTCCGTGACGGTTGTGACGCGCGCTTATCGATATCGAAAATTTACGCAACGCTATTGTGTTATTTAATCACGACTACTCCGCTTCCAACAAGTTCACATAGAAAAAAAACCTACTGAAAAAAGATACATACAGCCGACTTAACCTAATAAGTGTATGGCTTTAATAAAGATTTAAAAAAAAAAAAGATACATACTGATTCCAACTCATCTGTCGGTTGTCTTTTCATTTGATAGTTAATGAATTGGAATTTAAAAAAACATTTTTCTCTATTAGAAATAAACAAGTTATTACTTATCACGTTTATTTTATTTGATAAATTGCAAAATTGCCTTCAGTTACATTAAACCAAATTGACAGCTGTTAACTAAATCGGTTGTTATTATCGACAATACTATAATGAACTCGGTCACAGCACTACCGCGTTCCTCGGGATGGTCATGAACTCGCGCGCCTACTGTACAAGCGGACCACGCCGACGTACCCGTGGAGGTAGGCGGCCTGCGCGGCGGGCCAGCGGGCGGGCGCGCTGCCGGCGCCCTCCAGGTGGTACTGCTGCACCAGGTGGAACAACATTATCAGCGGCTGACGTTGGTCGTTCAGTTTTAAGCTATCCTGCAATCAACACGACGACACTTGAAGCACAGTCTCCACTTGCGGTGGCGGGGTATAGGGGGGCGGCATGCGGGGGCCGGGGGGGTACTCACGTCGGACACGAGCAGCTCGTCCGCGTCCGAATGCAGCAGGATGAGGTCGAGGAGCTCCCACTCGGCGGGCGACAGCGCCAGCGACGAGTCCAGCAGCAAGTTGTCGCCCGTCGATATCAGGTACTTGAGCTTCTGCAGGACGATCGACTGCACGCGGCCCCTGCAGGTCAGTCGACTGCCTTCTTATTTACGTACAAAATTGAATGTCTCACTAAGAGACGTCGAATATCTCCGGGAATGAATCCATTTGATTCAGAACAAACAATGAAGTGTTCCTCTCACACAGCACTGGGACTCACCAGACGAGCTGCAGCAGGGCGGGGGACAGCTGGCCGAGGGGCGCGAGCACGGCGCCCCCCCCCAGCGCGCCCGCCCCCCGCGCGCGCCGCACCAGCGTCGCCACCACGTGCTCCACCTCCATCTCGCTCTTCTTCTCCCCCGATGCCTTCTTCTCCGCCGGTGTCTTCTTCTCCCCCGATGGATTGCGCTGTGATCACACCGCGCGAGACCTCATTAGTGTCATGCTCCAACTGCACGCTCCATGTTATTACGGGAGCCCACACCGGCACACACCGGTGCGGTGCAATGATGCAGCGAGATGGTGGCAGTATCTCACACTCCCTTAGTAACCCAAAACGTACAAAACACAGTGAGACCTAAGCAATATTTTAAGAATATATGAAGCCGTCACGACTTCAAAGATAAGACGCCTGGTGTGAACGATGCCCTCTGCGCCAGGGCTCAAATCCCGCGAACGGGCACCAATTTCTCCACGTGACACGATTTTCAGCAATAGGAGTCCACTGTCTCGCAACATTAGTGCTGGATGAGAGGGTTGTTGGCGGTGGGTCCTCGGGCATATGAGGGACGCGCTCACCTTCAACTCGTCGATAAGCTTCAGTTCAGTGCCAGCCCTAAACAGCCATTCGGGCGCTGTTTTCAGAACATCCTCCAGCTGCTTGCCACTTCTCGTAGCTTTGGAATACAGCGTCGTCAACTAAAAAATTATAATAAAAAAATACGTTTATTCTCAGGGAAGAGACAATAGGCCAGGCCAGCGCCCTGATCCAACATGTGCAGTGATTATTAGGTATAAAACCCAAGACCAAAAAATTTGACCAAAAGTCCAAGATCCCGGGGCCCCCAGACGTATTTTCTGACGAACGAAATGTGGCCGATTGCGTAGTGTTAGTATGTACTAAGAAGGCATGCCTACCAGCTACCCTGCTTAGACGGCCAATTTTCAGGTATCAGGTACTCAAGGTACATAAAATCATTACCTACTTCACGTATTTTCTGAAAGCTGCATTTTACATATATTTTAGGCAATATCCTTAAAAATAAGTCGCCAATACTCCCAGACACTTTCCGTCGGCCGAGTTGCTTTGCAGACGCTTTAAAGGGCCAATCATCCCCTAAATTCAACTTAATACCTCTGTGGGTAAGAGCGCGAGGGCATTATCCACGCGCATGAGACTGAGTGAGAAATGTATTAGGATATATTGACTTCTCTGTCTCTCTATCTCTCTCTTACAGTTGAATCATATCAATTAATTATTATTATTTAAAAAAATCAGTTAAAAATTAAATTATCAGGTAAATAATTAGTCAAATTACATATGGGAATAGGCTCTATTTTTATATTTGTAATGTAGTGTTTTTTTTTTTTTCGTATAAAAAAAAATTATTACTCTTATAGGCAGACGAGCACACGGCCCACCTGATGGTGAGTGGTTACCGTCGCCCATGGACTTCAGCAATGCCAGAGGCAGAGCCAAGCCGCTGCCTAATTATACATAATTTTATATAAAAAAAAATTTTACCCGGAAGGATAATATTCAAGAATAATGGTAGTCAAATGAGCATTTTTTACAAATTAATTTTTAACGTCTGGGGGCCCCCGGATACTCTACAATGTTATATGACTTTTTCATCCCTTATTAGTAGAACTTCTATTTTACTTTCTCTACTGCTTCCCATAATTCTCATTAGTGACAGAGGAGATAACATCGTTCCGCCCTAAATTCCGGTGGGCAACGGTTTGGTTTTTGTCCCTGGCATTGCTAACGGCCATGGGTGTATGTTGTGCATCTGCTTACTAGAGCTTCTACTGAACTCTGTAGGGCAAGCCACTATGCCACTGTCACAACGGTGATACTTCATCCATGTGTATGCATTTTAGGAGTAAATATCTGTACCAACCATATAACCAAACTGTACACATGGCACTACTAATATTTCTGTTAAATAGCATTATTAAGATATCTTACACAATTTTTGACATAATTTTGGTATCTTCTGACCAGCCAGAATACATCCCGTGGTCCAACGTCCAAGCCCAGATCCTTGGATATAGCCATGTACGCCTGACGACGTTGTAACTAAAATGTACAAAGATTTATTACCTTAAGTTACGGCATAGTAAAGGTAGCATCCGAGGGTCTGTACTTGCGCCTCCAATGTGAGAGATGCAAGCACAGACAATGATACTTTTAGAAGTGTAATGAATTAAAGCCATCTCTTCTCCCTTAATGTATCCTAGGTCTTTGTTTTATTTAATTTTGCTTGCCTAGATGGGTGGACCACGGTGGACCACCAGTTCACGGCTCACCTGGTGTTCTGTGCTTACTGCAAACAACGTAAATGCTGCCAACCATTGAGAAATGAGTTCTAACTTAGACTTAGAACTCATGTCCCGAATTGGGCGGCGACATTAATGTGGTTGATGTCTATGGACTCCGGTGACCAGTGAGCTCGGCCTCCCATCTAAGCAATAACATTTAAAAAGACTTGTTGAAGCAGCTGTTATAAGATATTCTCACGTCAGTGTTCAGCATTTACAGTACAACAGCTGTCTCACCCTTCAAGCCACATCTCATAACTGCTTCACAACAGAAAGAGACAGGGCGGTTGTATCTGCCTGTGTAGGTTCACAAGTTACCCTGCCACTAGTAATCGTGCAAATTAATATTATATTTCTGATTACACTATGTTTTTCCTTCACCATGGACATAATTTGTGAGCATTTGGTAATTATTATATTTTTTAATAATTATCACAATGAGCATTGGGTGCTTTGCTAACTAATTAAAAGAGTTCAGTGCTCTTTAAAGCCCATACTACCACCACACTGCTCTATATAGATGTAAGTGTATGGTCCACCTATTTTATATGAGGCCAAAAATTAAGTATAGCGATATAACATATATAATGCAATATCTGCAGCAACTTGCTTTTGCCCTGGCATTACGTGCTTATAAGCAATGGTGACTTCCCACCACCACCACGATGAGCACTATTCATTCAAGAGACTAGAGATCTCACTTACAATCATCATGCGTTATGCCAGAATTATGCAAGGTTATGGGGGATGGCTAATAAATATTCAATAACACTAACCTTCATATTGCCTAGCCCCTTCACATACAGCACAGGATATCGGAGATAGTGGTCTGTTAGTTCCTTCCAAAACTGAGGGTCCACCTCGCCGTTCTTCTTTGAATTTATTTCGTTCCATTTCTCTGACATTTTTAACTAGAATGAAATAATTACCTATGATTAATTTAGCTATAGTTTATATTATATTTTGTGTGATTGCCAATTTCAAAACTATTAAGTTTAATCTTGTTTACATTCATTATTGCATAACAAACCAATTAATATATTGTAAAATAAAGACTGTGTATAGTGGAAACATCTCACTATGATCAATGGATTTCAAGTAACCTAAACTTAGCAATAGTATAGTGGGCCGAGGACTCAGAAAGCATTCAATATTATCTCATGAAAGCATTGTATTTTATTCCATAGATAACGAATGTAGAAATATAGTTCATACAAGTGACCTTACATCCTTTTTTTTATTGCTTAGATGGGTGGATGAGGTCAGTGGGCCGTGACCTCATCCACCCATCTAAGCCTATGAAAATCTACAATGTAAATTCTACCACCCATCTTGAGACATGAGTTCAAAGTTTCAGTTTTTACAGTAAAACAGCTTCCCTGCCCTTTAAACCGAAACACATTATGCGATCAGTGTGAACTCACAAGAAGTCCTACGATCAGTAATAAAAATTATAAAATTCATCACAGTGTAGGTAGATAAGTGTTATCAAATGAAAACATGTTCATAAAAGTACAGAAGAGACATAGGGTTGGATCAGACTGCACCACAAGAAGGGTCAGTCTATTTGGTAAAATGATTGGTATTTAAGGTTTGGATGTACTTATATTGTCTCAAGTGTGTGTGTATGTTGTGTGTTGTGTGCAGCTGTGCCCATAACACAGCAGAAGATCTCATATTGGGGCCAGTGAAAGTTCAGTGTTTCACATTCTTATTTCATCAATATTGTAAGATATGTCCAGCAGCTAAATGACCCACCTGATTTTGAGTGGTTAATGGTATCGACAGAAAAACAATGTCCTAACCTAGCTGCAATAACTAAATTTAATCGTGTATTAATCTTGGCTACTTATTCAATGTATCAGGATAAACCGTTATTTAAAATATTTAATGATATTTATTGGGCTCTCTTAAGTATTTGTACTTAATTGTGTTTAGAATTTTCCTGTTGTCAAAGTTCATGTTTCTGTCTTTGTATTGAAAATGACTCATAATCATGGTCTGTTTTAAAGTTTGCCATGTTTTTTTTTCTTTAAATATTTACAATTTTACTCAGGTTAACAATTAAAAAGATTTTAAATCATTAATTTGGACTTGTCAATTTCCAACACACGCCAAGTGTCAGTTCGGTCTTTGGATTAGTCAGTGATGCCATATCTTGTAGTAAAAAAAGTGTGTGTGTCCGCTCCGACGCACGACTGGAGTTTACTGGATATAAATATAAATTTGTGTCAGTTGAATACAGTAAAATATGGAAGTTACGTATTCTAGTGAGAATGATCCGGGAGTTGCGGAACACGTGGATGCGGTAATTAAGTAAGTCTATATAATTCACTTTTACAATTAATATATAAGTTGTCCATTCACTGATAGAAGGAATTGTTTATATTTAATAAGCTTTATTAATAAATGATTTGTAGCGGGTTATATTCGGGTATCAACCCACTAACAGTTGATACGTTCAGGAATCGAACCCGAACGGCGTCCGGCCACAAGCAAAACGATGTCGGTAAATTAAACGAAACAATACGAGAAATAGTTCTATATTACGACAACACGATACACTACAGATTATTAACAAATTAACGAGACACAAAACAAACGACTAACAAATATATGAAAATACAATAATGAGAGAAACGCGCGATCAGTACGAGGCTTTGTGGCGGACTGCCGGCGCAGCAGCCCGGCGTCACCTGCGATAACGCGGCCGCGCGTTGGCTCCTGATTGGCGCGCGCACGCATCACGCAATCAGGAGCCAATCAGGCGCATAACGCATTTCGTGTGACATGCTAGTACGATTTTGGTCCCCATAATTTTCATACCCCGGGCCTATATATGTAAATCGATTCTTAAGGAGTAAACTCCAAAAAGTTTCTAATACTGAACCTAAAAATCAGAGAAATTAAAAGTTCATTTTTTAAAGCAATTCCTGTTCTAATTATAATTGTTTCAAATTGTAAATCATCATTATTATTGGAGTTTACTCCTTAAGAATCGATTTACATATATAGGCCCGGGGTATGAAAATTATGGGGACCAAAATCGTACTAGCATGTCACACGAAATGCGTTATGCGCCTGATTGGCTCCTGATTGCGTGATGCGTGCGCGCGCCAATCAGGAGCCAACGCGCGGCCGCGTTATCGCAGGTGACGCCGGGCTGCTGCGCCGGCAGTCCGCCACAAAGCCTCGTACTGATCGCGCGTTTCTCTCATTATTGTATTTTCATATATTTGTTAGTCGTTTGTTTTGTGTCTCGTTAATTTGTTAATAATCTGTAGTGTATCGTGTTGTCGTAATATAGAACTATTTCTCGTATTGTTTCGTTTAATTTTTTATATCCAGTAAACTCCAGTCGTGCGTCGGAGCGGACACACACACTTTTTTATATTGTTTTATTCATTTACTGTCAGTCTTTTTATATTTTTTCTATACATGTGTATAATAATTTGTTTTGACGTGACGTCTTATAATTCGTTGAAGCCGGCTGCACGCACGAAAAAACATGACTCATGCGGCGTTGCCTCGCTCTGAGGCATTCCATTTAAGGCTTTAAATGCAAGCGAGAGCGCGCAACGAGCGACAAAGAGGCACAATCGGCCTCCGCGTTCGGCAGCGTTCGACATCTGTCTCTCTCCTACTTGAGTGAGCGATGCATCCGCGTGGACAGCTGCTATACAATAATACATTTACATGTTTACGTCAAGTATGAAGTTCAGTGAAAATTGAATGTGACTATAGCATTGACATGACTTTCATTGATGACTTTCATAAAAATTGACATAATTGTATTTATGCATACAAATAAATGTAACTTGATCAATTCAATAGTGATTTCCATTTACCTCCTTCTCTATATCCATACAAAATATTTATCAAACAAATAAAATTAAAATTTTCTTTTGAAAAATGAAACCATTCCCTCAGTATTTTCTTATGACGTTTCACGTTCAACTATCGTCAGTAAGCCGACTTTACAGACAACCGGTTTTTTTTTACATTGTAAAATACACTTAATAAACTTCTACCATGGACTTTACAGAAGAATTTAACACACCGTAATTACTATATATAGTTACAGGGAACTACCAGGTAATATAAACATTATTTGGGCCCACAAGATAATTTATTTGTTATTGTGGCATAAAATAAAAAAAAAACACGTGGCACTCGGGGACTGCCACGGTAAAGCTATTGCATAGCATTTTTTATCAACTTATGCCATTATAATTAGACAATAATACTTTAATATTAAAACATTAATAAAATTAGACCACGCTATATTTACAAACATTAACTGTCCCCTTCACACTCATAAGTTAGACCGCGCGAGAGAGATATGGGCAGACTTTTCATGATGCGCATGCAGTGCGACGTCACGCCGCGCGCTTATTCACAAATACTACACAAGTGCAACGTGTGAATATGTTGGACACGAGCTACATGGTAGGCGGAGTGGGGGGTGTTAGGTTTTGTTTTCGTTACGGAAGTTTCCGCGCGGGTACCACCACTCTGCCTATTTCTACCGTGAAGCAGTAATGCGTTTCGGTTTGAAGGGCGGGGCAGCCGTTGTAACTATACTTGAGACCTTAGAACTTGTCTCGGGGTGGGTGGCGCATTTACATTGTGGATGTTTATGGGCTCCAGTAACCACTTAACACCAGGTGGGCTGTGAGCTCGTCCACCCCTCTAGGCAATAAAAAATAAAATAAAATAATATAATTTCTTGATTCGGTCGCCGCGCTCAAAGCCCCCGATAAAAGCTATGCAATAGGTTAAAAACACACTAAACACAAATTTATTTCCGTGTATTAAACTTTGTAATAAGTATGGTTTTACTTATAACTTTGTATAAGTTAGTTAGTTAGCGAGTGCCTTTGTATATTCACAACATGAATCAAAACTAATATAACACAATCGAGTACTATTTCACTTCATTTTTATACTGCCAGCTGTTGTATTAAAGCTGGAGGCGATATCACGTTAAATCATCGGTCGAATTCACAATCACATCGGAATAAGGGAAATCTTAGCTAATTTCTACTCTACATCTAAATGCGTGTTGCATTTCAACATTTGTTATTGTGCACTATATTGATAAAATTAAAACTTTCACAAAAGAAAGAGAAGGAAAGTCGCCGAGTCAGATTAAGTTGTTTTTGTAATCAATTGCAAAGCTATGTAAATTTGGTGACAAAATGAGAATAACGGTATGGTACAATGGAGCTGGTCTGGCAGAAATAAAACATAATAATAATGATAAAAAAGAAAGTAACAATAACCTTGCAACATGAAGTTTTTAAATGAACAAATACCAATATTTTAAATTTTACTTGCTGGATGGTAGTTTTTCAAAAATTGGTATCATTATGAACTATCAATAAATGAACTTTAAATTTGTAATTAATACTATTTTGTTTTTTGTTATTCAAATCGTATCCCAAATTACACTACATAAAAAATTAAAATTATTTGCCTACATTTTCGAATTTCAAAGTAATTACTAATGCTATTCACATATTTGGTCAATATTCGAGATATTGAAGTAACATCCGTTTTACGAAAGATATAAAGGAACTAGTACAGGTCATAGATACTACCTATTCTTGATAGTAATATTTGCTCTTTACAATTTCCGGAAATCTTTATCGTCTATAAATAAACAGATGTTTAGGTATATTACTTGTAACGAATAGCAGGCACATAAAATTTACTATATCCTTGCAAAATTTTCAAGTGCGTTATCCTAAGAATTGGGGCTCTTGAGGCGTTGATGAAAAAGTCGACCATTCAGTCAGGACAAATGGTTGTCATAGTTAATAGCTATAATGAAATTAAATTCTTACTGGTGGTAGGATCTCTTGTGAGTCCGCACGGGTGGGTACCACCACCCTGCCTATTTCTGCCGTGAAGCAGTAATGCGTTTCGGTTTGAAGGGTGGGGCAGCCGTTGTAACTATACTTGAGACCTTAGAACTTGTATCTCAAGGTGGGTGGCGCATTTACGTTGTGAATGTCTATGGGCTCCAGTAACCACTTAACACCAGGTGGGCTGTGAGCTCGTCCACTCATCTAAGCAATAAATAAATAAATAAAATAGTGGTGGTAGGACCTCTTGTGAGTCCGCACGGGTGGGTACCACCACCTTGCCTATTTCTGCCGTGAAGTAGTAATGCGTTTCGGTTTGAGGGGTGAGGCAGCCGTTGTAACTATACTTGAGACCTTAGAACTTATGTCTCAATGTGGGTGGTGCATTTACGTTGTGGATGTCTATGGGCTCCAGTAACTACTTAACACAAGGTGGGCTGTGAGATCGTCCACCCAAGTAGTAATATAAAAAAAAAAGTATCAACTTTTAACAAATACATTTCATTACATGGTATACATTCCAAAACATTTTCATTTAATTATCTCCAATAGAACAACTCTGTACTTAATCTAGATATTAAGTATTTCAGTGACTAGTGATTGCTTTGTGAGTAGAGTAGAAACTACAAAGTGACCTCGACTACTAAACTATGAAGCCCCGGTGCGATTCCCGGTGGATTTTTTTTTAATGTTTTTTGTGTTCAAGGTCTAAGTATGTATATACCTGCTATATCTTTCCGGCAGTAGGCTGTGTCCTTTACATTCCGATGTCCATGAATGAAGGTGACTACTTACCATTAGGTGGGCCATAAGCTCGTCTGCCTACAAAGGCAATGAAAAAAAGCTTTACAACGATAAAAATTCTAGTTGTTGAATGTTCACTACTACCAATACCATTTATATTATAGCTTCCAATTACTACTTAAATTTTATAATATTAAATAGCTCCATAAAACACACAATTCACCAAAGGAATTAAAAAATATACGATCACTACCAATTGAATTCTAGCCATACTAAGTATACCTATTCTGCAGAAATACTAAGTATACGTACCTATTCCTAAATATAGCATATCCTGAGCTCTTTTACGCGCAGGTGTTTCCGGTTTTGTGTGTAGTTGTACACGTGATCACTCACTTAGAAAACAAAAGCGTATAATGTTGTAAAAACTATAACTATTAGGTAACTTTAAACTACTAACAAAGGTAATTCACAATATTTGATACC